CGATTGTCCTGTGAACAGTATCGATACTATCGAAGTAATAAATATAAATTGAAGTTTTATGATATTTAATCGGTAACAATCGATTAAGTATGGTCGATTAAGTGTATCGTCGTCTTGGCCGTGTAGTCCCAGCATAGAATAGGCCACCCTTTCCTTTCCCGTGGGTGTCGTAAGAGCCGATTAAGGGAGGGTGAGGAATGGGCAGCAGCGTCCTTCTTAAAACATCTCTAAAGCCTGACTGCGGTTGCCAATTCGCCTTTCAAGCGTGGCACTACTGGCAAAACCCCCCAAGGGGCAAGCTTATGTTCAGCAGTGGACAGTTAAAGACTGATATGATTAATCAATTAAGTGATTACAAATGCTTAAACTACCCCATTATAATCCATAATTTTTAGAGTTAGATTATATTCGAGAGCATATTTATTTTATTTATTTACTATCAATTATACCAATTACTTGATGATATTTGAACCAATTATAATTGGCTAGTTGAATCGTGTTTTTACTCTGTTAGGGGTTTTATGTCGGATTGAAAAGGTGGAGATTTGTACGTATTATCGTTATATTTGTGACATATCCTACTTATTGACTTCTTTATTATTATTAGTACATCTCATTTTTAATATTGACTATCTGATAACTAATTATTATTTATTTCTACTATTTAAATTAGTCGACTGAATAAATTAAAATTAAATTGTATTGCATTCCTTAATATTTTCATTAATGTTATTTTACTATTATATAATTTCGTAATGTTTAAATGCTACAAAAATTTTTAAAATTAAATCATTGTAATTTTTGTTTTTAATATTTGCACGCTTGACCTAAATAGACTTTGTAAAGTACTTTTAATTTATAAGATCAAATGTTTTATACCCAAAATCATTATTATTAAAATTATTAGTATTATAAATGTAAAAGTTTGGAGTTTTTATAAGTAATCTAGAATGCTAAATAAGCTAACGGCCCACCTGATGAAAAGTAGTGATTGTCGCCTTCTATCTATAGGCAACAATTTTTTATGTACAATCCCATGGGCATAATAGAGTATACTGTGTGGCCCATGATACTCTTCATGCGTTGGCATTCTCGAGTAATAAGTTGTCATATCCCATCCCAGTTCAAACCGCAACACAGCCGTGCAAATACAATTGCCTAACGGCAGGAACGCGAACAGGACATAGTCTCCTTCTGGTATGGTGTGGATAATTGTTATTCAGTTATAATTAAATAAATGAAAGGATTTTAATAAAATATAATACACAAATCGATTATACTAACATGTAAGATATTTTATATAGGTACTAATTCGTTTAGTGAAACCGCTGAGTACAGCTAGCCCCATTACCAGTAGGTAATCGATTATATCGTATTGTTGATTAATCGGCAGTGTCTTGACACATTAATTAATAAGTTATTAATAATATATTATACTACTACATAGATTGATTATCTAAATCATTTTATTTGATTATATGTGGTCCCGATTGAACGATCGATTAATAATCGATACACATCGATTATTAACAACACTCGTTGGGACTAATGAACACGGCAGATTGGTGCGGTCTCTTGTAGACGCTCAGTGAGATATTGTTATCGATGGTACTAACGTAATTACTGACTTTGAGGTGACAAAGGAGTTTGTGGCGGCGTGTTGTCTATCATTATAATTGATGACTAGAACCAGCTTGTATGAATAGATTGATGAATGTGCGGTAGCGATGTCTATTCGAGTCGGTGCAATTGGCTCCCTATTGTGTGCTAACCCTAAAGGGTGAACGCGGGGCATTAATAATGTTTTAACACGAATTATTAACACAGCAAATGACAGCGTTGTGGTTTAATGGTACTATGACTTGTAAAGGGGTACGGCAAAGAAGACAAAGGTAGTAAAGTCGAATTTGGCAGACACTAAAAATGTGTGTGTGAATTTAAATGTTTGCTCTTTTGATTTATTAATCTTCTGCGATAGAAAATACCTTTGACAAAGCAAACGACTTGAATGAATGTGGTAGACTAGTTCATTCTCATTTTGAATTCAAATATGTCCAACAAAAGCGTAATATATCTAGTATTATGTTTATCAGATATTTAACAGAGCAGTAGCTGCTACTGTTGTGTAGTCTGTTTGAGCAGAACGCAATAAAAATATAACCATCTTGTGTTTTAGTTATCACAAAAACATTCTTTAAACTTTAGAGTCTAAATATTTATTTAATTGATAAATCAATTTTTAATTTGTATTACTATTGGACATCAGCAGATTGTTATATGTTCAGGTCAGTTATTCTCTTTGTTTACATTTTCATTAAATTTTATTGAAACAAACCATACTAAACAGAAACTCTTGTAACGAAGTCCAAATTGATTTGTATCTACAAAGCAATTTTGAATTTCCTTTGGTGTCGACAGAAAAGTAGTTACTTACAATCAGAATCGGATCAAGCTAGAGTCGAAACTAGGACAAAGGGAATTGGTATATATATTGAAAATAACATTGTTACAGACTTTTGTATTTATCCTGTTGCTGCACTAGTTCATTTTATATTGGTAGAATGCGATGAATTTTATCAATTTTTACACTTTTGTTTTGCATAGTTTATGGCTTTAAACTATGAGAACTTACTTGGATTACCTCGACGTTTCGAATAGCTCTCACTGTGGTCTCGAGTAGACTGAGATAGCACAGTCATACTTCCACATCCGATACAGAAGTTTTTCACTCATTGTCTCACATCCTATATTTTGTGTCCCTATACTGAGAGTTTCTGCACACAACACTGCTCATGTCTTCATTTGATGCAATTTGGATGCCGGTGTAAGCTGGTCGAAAGCAAAACCTCGAGATAACTCAGGTAAATTTTTATCATAGTGTACCTAAATGATTGTGATGAACTTTGTTTTTGTTGTAGTGACCACGAAAAAGTTCTCAATTGGTGAAACTTATTTGCAAGTATATTACGCGATTACTTTGCTATTTTTGAACCTTTTTTTATAGTTATATATATGTAGGGTTTACTCCCCTGTTAGTTCCATAAAAATTTTGCTACGATTGCAGCTGTGAAATTTTTCATCACTATCACATCAGCTGTCCATTCCTGAACATGGTCCTTCCTCCTAGACTACCATAAGGAATGATCCTGGGCCAGCTGCATCCATCGACACCTAGTAATGCATCGACTCCTAGTCCTCCATTTAGTCTGGGTACAACTCTTAAGGACCTTTCTTCCCCATCAGTCGTCGGTTCCTCGATCTACCAGTTTCAGTTTGTTTATTTTTCGGGCCATGTCAGCCATTTTGGTTCTTCTTTAGATATTCTCATTTCGGATTCTATCACATAAAAGTACTGTGAGCATAACTCTCCATAATTCGTCGAGTAATTTGAAACTTTTGCACACAAGCAATCGTGTAGAACCATGTTTCGATTCTATAGGATATCACTGGTAACCAGTAAGGGTTAAAAACCTTCGTCTTTGAATTTTGCGGTATTTTAAATGAGAAGATGCTGTATAGTTTTTCAAATATTGCCCAGTCGAGTCGTTGATCTCTCGTTTGAAGTTGGACTTATCAAATCGGACAAGTTGTCCCAGGTATACATATTCGTCAATAACTTCGAGCGTAGTCTTCTCAATTATAACCGGTATAGGTGTTTCGTGGATGTTAGACATGATTTTAGTTTTGTCTATGTTCATCTTAAGACCTACCTGTTGAGAAACGTTGTTAAGGTTATCGAATGTAGATAGAATCATAGTTCTATAGGAATTTCGGCATAATTACTATAATATCGACCTAATGAAGGTGATTCTTTTTGCTTAGTACAAATCGTTGCGTTAAACACTCAATAGTTACAATGTAGTTTATTGGTGTACGAGTTTATTGGTTTACCGAATAATAAATACTTTTGTTGTGTGGTTCCGGCATAAAATGGGCCACCCATTTCATTCCCGTGGGTATCGTAAGAGGTGACTAAGAGAACTTAATGATTGAGGGATGTGCAGCATCGTCCCTCGTTAACGTTACCAAAGCCTAACTATGATTGCCAAACCGCCTGCCAAGCATGAGAACTACAGGTAAAACCCCCCAATAAGAGTTGGCCTATGTTCAGTTCAATAGACAGTTAACTGATATGATGATGATGATGATGAATATACTTATGTGGTATACAAAAAAACCTGCCTTTGTTTCGCCTCAGAGGTTTCAAATAACGATGATTTTAGAACCATTGAAACTGAACAAGTCTATTACAGACTACACGATTACTTGAATGTCAAATGTCAATCGACTATTAGTCGATAATGCACACGCTTTCGAATGGCCATGTAACTTTGAACGTATGTATTACTATATTACTGCGTATTAAACGCAGTAGTTATTTTCAAATTATAATCATTTATATTCAAGTACACTTGTTTAGAAGTACTTTTAAATCGTCATTTTTTATGAATGCAGATTTCGAAAATTTGTTATCTGCTAAGAAGAACCCGCAAGAACCGCAACAGTTACTGTTTTAAATCTTTGTTAACATTATATATGTATTTATTTAAATACATTTAAATCATTCTTGCGAATTTTTGACAGCAGATAATAACAATTTCAAACCCTGCAACGGAATCATATAAGACGACAATTCAAAAGAGCTTGTAAAGGCTATTTGAATAAAGATGATTTTGGATTGGAACATGTTCTAAAGTAGTTTGTTATTTCAATAGAACTTTATCAAAATGTAAACAAATTAATAATTGATTCGACAAAAGACAGTCTGCTGATGCCCAATAGTAGTGGAAACAAAGTATCGATTAATTGAATGGATGTTTCGATTAGTTACTAATTTTAATCAGATTTATTTCAATCAAGAATCAAGTTTAGTTTAAATCAGTATTGGGTTTGAACAAAACTTGATTCTCTTTTCAATTTAATGTAAGTTCTAGTAAAATATACTGTAGTCATTGTTACTTATTAAATAGCATCAACTAACTCTTATTCTTTGTCCACAGAGCATCAGACAGATCGCCTTTTGACGGTTCCTGTTGCTCAGGGTATCGGCCTGTTGACTCCGCCAGTCTGACCACACCTGATGAGGATGATCTCGATGCGGTATGTTGTAACCAGCCCACCAGAATCAAGAACTCTCTACTAGTTTTGGGACCATCCGTATCCGTAGATCATAAATGACCATAATACATATGGTCGACAGTATACTCTGTTATGTTCATGGTACTGTTCATGTCTATAGGCAATGGTTACTCCTTTCCATTAGGTAAGCTACCAGCATATAAGCCATTCAAAGTTTCATAAAAAATACAAATACATGTACCTAAATTAATTTGGTTATGTTAAATTAAATTAAAATGTATAATTACTTTAAAAAATTTTAAATTTGTTTTTTCTACCAAGCTAGTGGCATTATGACTCTTCTGATGCATTGAAACTCTTGAAAACAAAGGAATACTATTTTTTCTTCTTTTTCATTCGTATCGTTTCTCATGGCTGAGGAACGTTTAAGAAAAACAATGACATATAGTCTGTGCCATCACTCTTTTCCAAAAAAACATAGAGAGATGGTTAGTAAAGACCAGATCAGGTCCACGCGATTCCTGGAAACCACCGTGGTTAATTCTTGTTGAGTTTATTATGATGAGCCTATGATTCTGATTTTAGCTTTTAGTAGCCTCCAGTTCCCTAGCATATACCTTATCAGCATACCGATAGCGCAAGTGTAGTCTATTATCACCATATCAACCGTTATTTGTTCATTATTTTCCCCATAGACTGCCACAAAGAACGGTCCTGAGCCACCTGTATCCACTTATTATCTGCAATGCATTTAAGGTCGTCACTCCATCTAGTGGGGGGTCCTATACTACGTTTGCCTGTATGGAGTCGCCACTTAAGAACCATTCTTCCCCATTGGTTGTCGGTTCACCGAGATATGCGACATTGCCATTGCCACTACAGCTTGCTTATCCTTCTTTATAAATTTGATTGTTCTGCAAATATACTCATTTCGGATTCTATTACTCAAAGAAATTCCGAGCATAGCCTTAGTCCTCTCCATAGTTTGCTGAGTAGGTAGCTTAAAGTTTTTGCATACGTGGCGGTACCATTTCATTATTAATAATTATTAGTAAATTAGTATAAACTTATTATTGTTAGTGTATGTATGGTATTTATTTGTATTTCTACAGATACCAAAGTACAGGGTCGTGTTGCTAGGAGACGCGGGCGTTGGGAAAACTGCACTCGTGTCTCAGTTCATGACGTCAGAATACATGAATACGTACGACGCTAGTCTGGGTGAGTAAGCATGAACTAACTTAGACCACTTAGTATGAGCGTAGCTAAGAAAAATATTGTTAATACAGGGTGATATCGAAATGATTAGTGTAATAGTACAACTAAACATTTTTCCTAAAGTATATACGTCGAAAAATGATAAAAAAATATGAACCTTTTATACTAATTTAACGTAATAATCGGACACGCCTGGAGTGCTAAAAATTTTTTGTTATTTTCAACTTGAAATAATCTTCAGTATTGTTAATACTTCAATAAAAGTATGCCATCGATTTTGATTTCAGTCTGTATATATAGATAAGTGCATGTTTAGATTATGTGTTGTTATTATATGATACTGAAAATATATAAGTATATCAATATAAGCAATTGGTACATTACACTCATTAGATTTTTAATATGACATAGGGCTCGAACGGGGGATGGTAAGACGAGTAATGGCTCAAAGCAATAAACACGAGGGGAGACAAAATTGAGGGCGATGACCGTTAAAAATGGCGGCAAATGTTTTAGCAAAATTGTTTGATCGGGCTTTATTATGACCTTGCCCTTATTGGCACGACTTTTTTTCTATGTAATTATTTCTTTTTGGACGTCGAACCAAAATGTCAAACAATATTTTCCTCATAAGAAACCAGTTAACTATAAGGGCAAACGAGCCGTAGCTCCTTTATTCGCTCTCTTCCTACGCGTATCATCTTTCACACAATCCATCTGCATGGATCTTCTTCTCTTTGAAGTGACCATTATCATATTCATACTTTTTGGAAGTTATGGCATGAAAATAAACAAGTGTAACAACTTTTAGATATTATGTAAGTACACACATTGGCGATCACCACATTGATGGGCACGTTGCTTTGTATAAATGAGGTTTCAATTCCTGGTCACGCAAATTTAGGAAACAAAATTTTCTTAGTTGGCTTGAGTTTAAGTGTTCTGGCTTGTGTTCATTAAGTTCGTTGCCTAGCTCCTTATAACAGGATATATTGGATTAATGTAGTTGAGTGGTATTTATTATGTTATTATTATACATTGTTAAAAATAAGCTTGTAGTCGCAACTTTAATTTTTCTCTCCATCTTAAGATTGCTTGGAAGAGATCACACCATCATTAATTGTTATCTCTTAACCTTCTTGTAATTAAGATCTTTTCTTGTATATATATTGTTAACTTACATAATCTGTATCATTCTTTGAGGAAAATAATAAATAATTCTCCATTCATGCATTTAAAATACATAAAAAAAATGTATAGATTTAAACTTTGTTAAGATTCACATTGTTGTTCAGGAAATGAAATTCGTTACTATCCTTTTAAGAGAGTGAGATAGAACATTTTTGTTACAAATAAATTTTAATATAGGTCAAAGACGACAAATAATTTAGAGGCTCTCATATTAATATCGTAAAATGTTCACCGGAGCTTGTATGACCGTACTACCATGAATAAATGTAAGCGTAGACTCACTCACAAAAGGGAAATAATACTTTCACGTATTACGTCAAAGCGATGACAATATTATTGTGTTTCAATTCTCGTGTATACCATAAACAATCTTATTTACTACCGCACAAAGTTGTTTATCGCATTGCCAATGTGATATCTTATTTAGATTTAAATGTTACTGGTCTTATTTGCTTGCGACAAAAGTGCTTTATGATCGTAATGTCTATAACAAAAAAAATCATAATCTGAAACACGATTATAAACAAGTACCTACATTTTGTTACGCAAAAAAGAAAATTAACAATTTCAATCGTGTTTAAATTAATATCTTACTTTTATTTATTTTTTGTTCTTTCATTTATTTATTAGCTTCAGGCGTGACTTTGTACACGCGCATTATGGTAGTTGGAAAACCAATAAATACACCTTTTCTAGATGGTGTATCAAGATAAAATATATATTTAATTTTAAGTTCAAGTTTCAGGCAGGCAAACTGTCAATTGCAAAAAGGATTTCGAAAATTGGTTCAGAATTAACGAAATGATAACGTAATATGTTGCAAGAAGATAGACGAGTTTGCATCACGATTACTTCTTCGTGAAGATGAAAAGAAGTAATGACATGCTGTGTGTGTTCTTAACAAAACAAAAGATAGATTTCTTATTTAAATACCTGTTCCTACATTTGGAATGTTGTGAAAATTTAATTATATAACATTTTAATAGAAACTAGGGCTTAATAATAAGGGTTTCTTCAACAAAAACTTTGAATAATCTTTGGATTTTTTTTTGATGGGTGAAAATGGTTATGGTAATCCCGCCTGCGCTAACGAAATACGCTGGCGGAGCACCAGTGAAGGGTGATAGAAGAGAACGAAAACAGGCCAGTTAGCCCATCATGATGAATTCATCAGGAATTAACCATGATAGTTTCCAGGGGGAACCGCGAGGAGGTTGACCTGGCTATATTGCTAGCAATGGGATTCTCAGTCTCTATTACTAACAATCCTTTCCCCCCAATCTTTGGATTTATACGCTTGTTAAATCGAAATTATGCTTTGATAGCTTTGACAGGTATGACGTCACTGCGCCACCCTAAGAGCATCACCGCTCAATAAAATAACAATAGGCTATTTGAGTGATTTCTGGAAACCATCTCAAACTAGTTAGTGGCATTTATAGATCCTCAAATAGTTTATTTTCTATATACATGTACTTATGTGTATTAAAAACAAACTATTTGCGGATTTCATCAAAAAATAGCAAATAAAAAGGTATGGTTTAATTAGACCGCCGAAACTCAACTATTGAGTATTTCATTTTAGAATTAATATTTCGATTTTATAATGCACTTAATTCGGTAATAAATTTGAGTTTGGTTGGATACAATTATGTCATTTAGGTGCCCTATGTTATCAGTTATTTAACAGCTGAATAATTAAAATTAGTAATTGTTAATTATTCGAATAATAAAATCATTTGGATACTTGCACCGCTACCAAGAACGTAAAGAAACCACAATGATAGACATGTTGTTTACTTCCATGTTACGTCATCATACATTCCAGATCGATTTCGATCACGTGAAACTAAATAAAATAGAATAATATTTTTTTTAACATTAATGTATACCTCTTTTAAAACCCCTAGACTATACGGATGGCATTAAAACTTTATATTTTATATTGTCAAATAGCCTAATAAAATTGTAAATATGCAATAGTAACACATGACTATGTCGATTGCAAAAATTACAATTGAAATTGGTGCAGGTTGACACATCTCGCTGTTTTGCAGTGTGAAATATATTTATTTATATACACAAATTATATTTAAATATAAATAAATATATATAAAAATTTCTATATTTTCCATCTAAAGAAGATATAATTTGCGTTGCAAACAATACTGAAGTTCAAAGCTAGTACACAAGTGAATTACTAATGAACACAGATATTCATTACAAATTAAATCAAGTCTCGAATATCGCATTAATTATGCGATGTACCGCGCCTTCAACTCGAGTAAGTACCTACTACCAGCCAGAAAATGAACGAGGAAACAAAATTTGTAGGAGTCTTAATATAAATAATGTAATAATGTACAATGTTAGTTACATTATGCTATTATTTATATATATTTATTATTTATTCTTTTTTTTTTTAAAGTTGACTTGAAAATTAACAAAATACATCGCAGTAGAGAACGATGTCATTCTAACTTGTTATTTTCGTAAAATTGGCTCATTAATTTAATTTATATTTGTAAATCACCGTGTCTTGGTAATTTCTTATGGATTCCCTCGATACAGGTCGGCCTAGTGCGGGGTCCAATGTATTCGCATTGTAAATTTCTTGTATTTAATAAATAAATAAATAGGTTCTTTTATGGGGTGATAATGGAATGGCACTATTGGTTTACACTGGCGGAATACCAGTGAAAGATGATAGGTGAAGATGAAAGTCAGCCAGGTAGATCAGCGTCATCGTGAATTGTTCAATAAAAATTAATCACAATGATTTCTAGGGGAAATCGCGTGGATGTCAACCTGACAAGGTATCAATCGAATCGCTAGTCCCCATAGTAATGTAAATTGTTACTAGACAATCCCGTTCCCCTAAATAAATATAGGTTAGGCTTATATTTAAGGCAGGAAACATTTTTATTTCAATTCTATAACATATAACATAGCTATGAAAAAGATCTGCCATGTACATATATCTATTTATAAATATGATTACCTATTATTATTATGATTATTACCTATGATTATTGAATGAATAATTTTTATAATATATAATAGAGCTAATAATAGCTCTAGAATTTGAATGAGGATTCATGAAAGTAAATAATCAATAAAAAAAAGAAGAAAGAACCATTTTTATTTAAGTAAACTTAGTTAATAGAAGAAAACTTAGATAAAAAGAATAGATTTAAACATTTTTTAATAGTAATTATTTTCATTACAACTCATTCGGAAGGCACTTTCAGCCAAGAGAATAGGCAAAAGACTCAGCTGTTGCTTTTCTTAAATAGTTTAATTATATATAACATGCGATATACACTTTAATCCAGGGTCAAGCACTTAAATCGATTTATAACTGTAGTAACTATATCCCTTAATTTTAACAAAGTAGCTTAGTACCTCTGTCAAGATAGCAATTTTGTGTATGGAGACCACCCACACAAAACTCTCAGTCGTTTAAACTTTGCTATATGATAAATTACGAAGATACAACTGACAAATTATCTACGATTTTATTTATTTATTTATTCATTCTTTATTACACTATTAAAAATTGTACAAGTGGCGAGCTTAATACAGTATAGCGTTTTCTACCAGCTAATTATTGGGTAAAAATAGAAAACGTATGAAGGACTTTTTTTATACCACTGAGGTGGTAAACAAGCATACGGCCCACCTGATGGTAAGTAGTTACCGTAGCCTATGAACTCCTGCAATACCAGAGGTATTACGCGCGCGTTGCCGACCCTGAAGAACTCTCTCTTAACCCCTCTTTTGAAGAACCCCATGCTGTAATCTTTTGGGAA